GCAAGCCAGCGGCCCGGTAGGACTTGTTCCACGGACCGGTACCGGTCCGCGGACCGGTGGTTGGGGACCCCTGACCTAGATGACCCTCCAGACACTATTGACTGATAAGTATATTTTCAGGATATACTGGTGTTGTTGCATCTGAGAGAGAAACTAAATACTGAATTCCACAGTAAGAGTCGTATACCTGTGATCAAAAAATGACAGTGCTATGGCTGTGGGGGTTTCCTTGTCCCAGAGTGGATGATTTGCCATCACTCAAAGAAACATGGATTTTGCTTTGTGTCAGAAAAATGTGCAGAAACATTTCAGCTTATTTGTCAGCTGAAACTGATATGCAGGTAGCTTATGCAACAAGGTAATAATCCCAACATACAAGGAAGTCCATATGAAAATGGATGGAAAAAAACATATTCACTATTTTGGAATGATCATATCAAAATCTGGATGTAAAATTCATGCAAATATTATGGCTGGACCTGAAAAAGAAGTTTGTTCGAAAATACCTTCAAGCAATTCTCTATTAAAGAATGGGCCAGAAATACAAGAGACTGATTTACCAATTATGTGAAATGTTTTTATTGTAGCTAAATGGGAATTACTTTTCCATACTGGCATGTTGCATGTTGAAAGATACATGGATTCACCATTGAAAAGGTGTTAATAATGAGGTGGTATTGGGTTTTATTGTGTAACACTGGCTTGTGGTATTGTTGGGGAACAATTCTATGAGATTGAATTAGCTTTAGGAAGATTGCAGCATTTTGGTTGATTTAGATTTGAATCAGCAGGAGGCCTGCTGTCCATATCCATATATTTCTTCTTCCCTCCTACTTGGAATAAAAGCAAGTGTCATGTGGTAGTAAGACTATTAAAGTACAATATGTCAGAGAGACTCGCTTTCAGTTACTGTATATATCTAACTGCAATTGTTTGATCTAGTCACTATCTTCAACCCTGACTTACTAGCAGACAGTGTGTCCTTCCTTCTTTCCCCCTTCTCCAAACTAAGCATATTGTTTTTCCAATCAGACAACAAACTACTTGGTTAGGACAGCTGTCCCGTTCTTCTATTTAATCACAACAACATCCTTCTCTATATTCAACCTTTCCTTTCTTAAAGTTCAATATTTCTTTTAACCCACTGATGATATTTATTGAACTGTGTTTTCCTCTCTTCTAACAGTCTTTGGATAGCTTGGGTACCTCTGAAGACACACGTTCAAAGAGGCATTCCACCTCTGATCTTTCGGATGTCACTTTCAGTGATGTGAGGAAAGAGGGCTGGCTCCACTATAAACAGATTCTCACCAAAAAAGGCAAAGTATGTCTGAAATTTTCTGTAAAGCTGTCCTTAAGAGAAAAGAATAACGTTAAGTTTTGGTAATACAGGGCATCTCTGTTCATGTGCATGATAGGGTTTGAGGAGGTAAGAACTAATTTGACAAAACCATAAAATCTGAACTTGAAATGACTTGAAGAATGAAATGTTTAGGTAATAGCAGAGGTGACAATTCAGTAGAAATACCTAGAGATTAAGTCGGTCAAAATAAAATTAAGTCGTTCAAAGTAAAATCTTGATTTTAATGAGAATTAAATATTGGTAGAAAAGGCAAATTGCAAAAGGGCTTTGGAGCTTCTTGGCTGAGATTAAAATATTGGGGGCTTTTGTACCAGGGTGGGTTGTTTGGGTCTTCTAAAGGCTGTTTGATTGCAGATTTTGTTACTATTCTGTGACTACTGACTATGATGACTGGGGGTTAATGGAGGCTGGAGTTTATTAACACATGTGTTTCTCTCCTTCTTTAAAGAAAAGATGGTTGAACTGAGACATAATAGAGCAGGGGTGTCAAAATCAAGGCCTGCGGGCCGGATCCAGCCAGCAATGTGGTAGGATCGGCCCACACGCCATCCTGAAAACTGTAATCACTTGCATCACTTCGGCCCAGCCCAGGCCATCCCGCCATGTGCACGTGCACACGGAGGTGGGCCAATGTTGCCTCGGCCCAGCCCACCCCCACCCACTCACTTGTGGTCATCTTTTGCCTGCTGGGCCTGGGCCATGCAAAAGAAGGATTTTAGTTATTACCATGGTGGGGAATGGGAGATAGAAGAGCCTTTCTGTATTTGGCCTCCTCGACTTGTAACGGGAAGCGCAGAGGGCCAGTGCAGACATGATAGAAGAGGAGCAACTATTCTGCCCATGTCTGATGGAGAAGATAAAACTGGAGAAGGGAAAAAAATCAACCCTACAGAAGTCCAGGAAGAGGAAATCATTGTCTCCCCACCCCTTCCACTACAAGCCTGCATTAAAAGAAGAAGCAAGTGCCTCGTTTGGCCACCTGCAGCCTCCGTGGCATTCTCCACTGCTTTTGGCTCATTCACATGCATCCATGCCCCAGAGCCTGCTTGGCTATCAGGACGAGGGTGTGGGTGGGGACTGAAGGTGCACCTTTTTCCTCTTTCCCCTCCTCCCATCCGCCTACCTCAAGGTGCAGATCTCCTTATGAGGGAGGTCACGGGAGGTGGCACATTTGGTGCACAGCCCCTCCAGATTGGAGATGTTGATGTCAACCATGTTCTGAACCAGTTTGCACTGCTGCAGCGCTTTTTGCAGGTTGAGAGGTGGCAGCGACACAGCGGCCTCGTCCATCTTTTACCCCTCGGCCACCACCTCCTCCTCCTCTTCCGGATCAGGGGGATGCAACCATTGCTGCCGCCACTAGTGGCTTACTGCCCCCAGGAGGCAACAGGCACCTGGGTGGCCCGCCCGCCTGCCTAGTCACTGCCCTGAGATCCTCATGCTCCCCTGCCTGCTCTGCGCACAGCAGCAGCAGTCTCCTGCTTGGGGGGGGAGGGCAAGTTGGGGTGCGCTATGGCCACCAGAGAGCCCCGAGGTTGCGGCTAGAGCGGGCTGCTTCCATCATCTTAGCTTCCTTTTTCTAAATACAGCCTTCTGTAAGTGGGAAAAAAGTTCCAATCATTAGGTTAAGTTATAAATTATTCTACCACCTTTACCTATTCCTTTCCCTCTCTCTGCACTTTGGTTTTAATTGATGGGACCATCTCACAAACACACTCGTAAGCAGCTCTTTTCCTATAGGTGCTGCCGTTGTTAAATGAGAATGTATCAATGTCTGTCTATTCCAGGTATCTTCTAAGTCTCTAGCAGTGATCCCGTTAACATTTTCCCTCCAGAGATGTTTGTACTACTGGCTTTTTTTAAACAAATGCCTATTTTTCCCATTGTTTAACAACAACAGCAGGTCTCTTTGACTTCCCAGTGTTTTCCTTTTGTTTGAGCACGAGCTAAAGGCTTCTTGACTCCCATTAACTTTAACTTTCCAGCTCCTTATAGTTCCTACTTTCTGGAGTAGGATTTCTTATTCTCCTTTCTTCTTCGGTATCTTCCTTTCTAATATCCTGTGATCCTTTTACTGCCAAGCAGTCCTCAGTCAATTCTACTGCCCTTTGGCCTGTTTCTGGGTTGTGTTCTTACATCCAAACCTCAGTTTAATAGCGAGTATCTGTAGAAACTGTTTTAAAAGTACTTCCTCTACCGCTTTTCCTTTGCTCCTTTCATCTGGCCTCAACCATTTCCTACCTAAGTCTTCTAACCTCAACCATAGTTCGTGAATCCCTTCATGGTTGTCATAGCTTCTAAATTTCTGCCTATAGAAGTAGGAAAATCATATCTATACAGGATTACCTCCTTAACATGGCAGTAATCCATTACTTCCCTTGCTTGAAAGCTATTTCCTGTTAAACTCCCAGGCAATTTAGCAACTATTTCAAACTAGCAACTTAGCAACTATTTCAAACCTGTTAAATTAGACTTCTATGTTTTCTTCCTCTGACAATTCAGAGATGTTTATGTCTTTGGGACCACCTCCCCTCACTGCAAATTCTGAAAACCATAGAGGTAAATGTGCCCTATCTGGTGACTGTGACTTTTAAGGAAGTCTATCAGCCTTCCCTCCACTTCTCTTCTTACCTCTCTTTCACTCCTTTCTCGTTCTCTCCAAAGCAATTTTTATCTTTAATGAATCAAAGCCTTTCCTCTTTCTGTTGCTTTAACATTCCTGTGATGATATTGGTCCAGGTATCTGAGCCTAGCTTCTTTTCTGGCTATTCTGCCTTCTCTGGCTTAACTACAAGCCAAGGCATAGGGTGGACACTTGGCTCTATTAAGGTAGGTAGTCTTTTCTAAGGAAGAATATTCCTTGCTACCTTTTCCTTATCTGTTTGTGTGGTATACTGTAGGTTCTGGTAAAGGTCTGGTTTCTGCGGTCAGAATAATGGTTGTTTTCCTGCAATGCCTGAGCTCTACAACAGTCAACCTGCCTTTTTGTTTGCACCTAATGTTTGCTTTTTCATGGCATGATATGGTTGTATGGTAGTTATACTCTGTTGGACATCCCACCTCTACCACTTAGTCATGAGTTCTTTTAAGTGTAACTAGTTCCATGGGCTCAAAACACAAAAGAGTCAACACAACACAGGTCCCTAGACAACAGACACATGCAAGCGTTCAAAGCTATGACTCACTCCTACTTCATTCTTACCCACTGCTATTACTAGTCCAACAACTGCTATTCTAATTACTGCTCCTTATAAATTCTACTATTCCTACTCTGTGAATATTGCTAGAGAATATTAGCTTTTTAGCTGCTTTACTTTCACACAGAAACAAACACCCCCTTCCCTCACAACCACCAGCTATTTCTCAGCATAGCTTTTATAGGCAATGTTTCCCTGTGGGGTAAGCAGGGGGCTTAAAGAGACAGCATGAAAACAGCACATGTGCTAGTCATTTTCTGGGCAACCTGTTGTTTAATACAGGGATCCTGTCAATCCACAATGAATATACCCAGTAACATTGAAGAGTTACTTAACAAGGAAGAGGAATCTAAAATTGGTAAAAGAGCAATAAGAAGGAAGGAGCTCTTCCTTGTCCATTTAATATGTGAAAATTCTGATTTGATGCAACTTTATTGTTACAGGATCCAGTTGCTTTAAAAATAATACAGTAAAGGTTTATATTTTAAAACAGATTTCCCTTCTAGTAAGAAAGGACAGTTATGTATTGATATGTTTTGAATACCAATTCTTGGAAATGAATCTGTATTAAAATTTTACCAATATTTGAATAGGGAAATTGTTAGATTAGTAACAGTTTTATAAATAATCAGACATGTCGATGTGCTTTGAATTCCAGATTTAAACCAAGAAGTATAAATCTATAAGATAAATCTGTTCAATACTGCAAGAGAGCTTTAACTTTTGAAGACGATTCAGTTTATATTACATTGCTGTATTTTTTAGAAGACAATTTTAATTTTGGCACCAAGGTGGAATGCCAATTTTGCACAGGCTCTAGGTTTGGCTCAGCACATTTCTAGCTAGGTCTAGTGTAAAATTCTGGAGAGCTGCAGAAACGATGTTGCAATCTTTCTTAATATGGGCACCCTATGTAGAATTGCTGGTCATTTTTGGAAATTGAAATCCACAGATCTGTCCAGATTGGGGAACACTAGAATACATACATCTCCTGAGCTAACATGTTGAAAGACAATAAGATGGAATTTCCAGTTACAGTAAAGGAGGGGAGTAAAGAGTCTAGCTTGGAGTCTCTCCATGGGAGCAAGTGAAAGACGCCAGATTCTTGAAGCTTGTAATTGGCTTTTCTCGAGAAAATGCAATTAGTCTGGCAAGATTCTTGTAAATAGAGGAATAATAATAAGAAAATTACTTTGGCAGTTACTTTTTCATGGAGTTGTTCTGGTTCCTTGTGCCCAACAAATTTGCATCGTTCTCTTTGTTTTTTTCTTCATCTCTCCTATAGATCTTTTTCTCCTCCTCACCCCTCGCAGGTCTCATTCCTCCTTTCCTCTCTCCTCTGCAGAAAGTTGGCGGAGGCATCCGGCAGTGGAAACGGGCCTTTGCTGTCCTGCGTGCACACTCACTCTACTTATGCAAGGACCGAAGGGAGGCTGTGGCCCTTGCCCCGCCCCCAGGTGAGGAGGAGCAGCCACCAATCAGCATCCGAGCGTGCCTGGTAGACATCTCCTACAGTGACACCAAGAGGAAGCACGTCTTCCGGCTGACGACCGCTGACTTCTGTGAATGTCTCTTTCAGGCCGAGGACCGGGATGACATGCTGGCCTGGATTAAAGCAATCAGGGAGAGTAGCAAAGCCGAGGGCGAGGTGAGAAGTCATTGTCCTGGTGGCTTTCTCTTTTGCACTTGCTCTCAAATGTACTTCTTTTAGCAAGCCCACCATTACTTTTTCTTAATTTATCTTCCACCTTTGGGAAGAACCCAACTGCGAATCCCTCATGTAGGGATGATTAAGTTGTATGGCTAAGGACAGCTGAGGCTTTCCTGCAATATACAAGGATCTCTGGATACTTTTCCAGTACTGCAACTGCTGAATGGAAACATAGCAAGTATTATGGACATAAAGCCTTCAGAGGCTACGGAACTACACTCACCAAAACTTCAAACAGAATTGCCAATGGCTGCTGTAATGTATCCTAAAGCAATCTTTGGAAGCTCATGATTTGTCTGCATATATGACTTCTTTGAATTGTAAAGTCTGAGAAAGAATATCAATTTTCTACAATTCCTGAGTTCTAATGTGGAATTTCTGATGGAAGCTCCAATTGGTTTATCTAGGGTGACCTCTGCTGGTCAGTTGATTAAATTAAAGTTCTCTTTCAGTTGTTAATAAGTGAGCAGAATTTAAAGATCAGACTGTTAGAACCATCAGTTTTTTCATTAGTAATTCTAAAAACTGTTTCGATTTATTTTAACTTTTCCAAGAAAGTCGGCAAAAAGATTGTTTCAGTCAAAAAGAAAAACATCAAAATGAGTTCTCATATTCCTTGTCTGTTTTTCTCCCTTCCCTTTTGTATTCCTTTTTTTAATTACCAGGACCCTGGGTTTGCAAGCCAAGCACTGATCAATAAGAAACTAAATGATTACCGAAAAGTGAGGTAAATTACTTACCATCTTACTATCTTTCTCTTTGAGAATTAGCCCTCTTTCTGCCAATAATTCATATTTCTTAGATGATAAATCTGAGTGTGGTCTATTTCAATTGAAATTTCAGGTTGCTGAACACACCTCCATTAAAAATATTTCAATATATATATTTATGTTTATTTTATTTTATATCATGCCTTTATTAGTTTTTATACACTCGAGGCAGCAAATGTATCTATTACTCCTTTCTCCTCCCATGTTCTCCATAACAACAAATAACTGACTGGCCCAAGCTCACACAGCTGGTTTATATAGCTGTGGTGGGACTAGAACCCTCAGTCTCCTGGTTTTTAATCTGATGCCTTAACCACTATACCAATGGTTTAGGATGAAGCTGAAACCCTTTCAACCTGTTCTACAGAAGTCTTTATGATTCAGGGATTGTTTTCTAAGAATGTAACACTATAGATTATATTAATCCTTGTTTGTAAAGTGAAGTTCACAAAGAATTTATACCTTATCACTGAAGGACTTGATATCTGGAAATTTATTTGATGAAACTGAAAAATCTGAATTATATACATATACATACCATTACACATATACATATATCATACATACATGCATACATACATACATGGAAATGGAATACATATATTCCATTTTTAAATTATGACAGTTTACTAAATATCTGAATGAAGGTCAGTTTGTGAAAGAACTCTGGATACAGAGTTAGTCAGTACATACATGAGGCTTCCTCCCCACAGCTGGTAGGGTAGAATTCTCTTATGAAAATAGGTGGCATTTTGGGAAGGGATGTCTTAACCTATAGCTTCCATTTGCTCCTGCTTTGTATCTCTTGTTAACTTTGGCCTGAACTTACGTCTGAAAAGCAGTCAGGGACAAATTAAAAAAGCACATGAAACACTGTACCTATGGATAAAAAAAAATTGAAACCACTTCTGTAATCTCTGCTCCCAGTCTTGACAGAGTAGTTTGGACTTCTGTATTAGCATTCCCATGATGTCCTTTGTTTCTTCAAGTTTTGCATTCAAATCAAAGGGGGCCTTGAAAAACAAAGTCTTCTCTGTGTATATTCATGCAGAACATGCAGGATGAGTTATTCCTGAATTTTTAAGCAATTTCTTGCACGGTCTTTTTTCCTTTCAGTTCCTCAGGGACCAAACCAGATTCTTCCCCCAAAGGTCTTCGAGGGTCAGGGATGAAGTCAGAAGGCCAGAAGCAAACAGGAATAGCTCCACCCTACTCCCCACGGCAGGATGGAGTAACAGTAAAAGGTATGGAAGACTTGTGCAGTTGCTCCAGAATGGGGGTGCTATGAGAAGTTGTCTATCTTGCACATTACTATGTAGACCCATAGTTTTCCACCATGACACTATCTAAATATGCTAAACTACAGTTTCCATTATCTCTAGCCAATACCAATTTCTGACATTTTGTACTCTGATCCTGCTTCCTAATTTCCTAATCCTAATCTTATTATGTGCCCCACCTTTGCTTATTTTATTTATTTGTTAAATTTCTACACTGCCCATTGAAGTGATTCTGGGTGGTTTACAACAACATACATAATAAAACAATATAAACACATGACTAAAAACAAAATTAAGAACAAAGTTAAAATTTATAAGTTAAAAGTGAAAACCAAAGCTAAAAAACTCAGAATGCTAAAATGTTAACAAAGCAGAGAGAGTGCACTCAATCCACCAGCCATCTTCAAGGTTGCATAGATTCTTAGACTTCCATGGTAAATTGTGGAGCCAGTTCTTAACACTCTTTTTAAACAAGCAGAAGAGTGGATTTCTTGCCTCACCCTGAAGGTAAGATTTTGCAAGGTGTGGGGGTAACTGCAGAGAAGATCCTCCTCCTAAAACACACCAGTATGAATCCCATCAATTCTTTGATTGATGGGATTCGTAGCATGCCCTCCCTGCTTGACTGGATGGGATGAGTCGATGTAACTGAGACATGTCTCATGTCTTGAAGAGGTTTAAATGTGATAACCCATACCCTGAATTGGACCGATTGAATTGTTCTTAAAGTAATACCAAATTTTGTTTATGAAACAAGAAACAACTATGGAAAAGATTAGACTATGATTTATGACCTATGACTTATCATTTTGTTCGTATGCATACTGACAGCTTATGCACCAGAGGCAAATTCCTTGTGTGTCCAATCATACTTGATCAATAAGGAATTCTGTTCCGTTCCTGTTTCTATTCTATTCTATTCTATTCTATTCTATTCTATTCTATTCTATTCTATTCTATTCTATTCTATTCTATTCTATTCTACTCTACTCTAGACTAGACTAGACTAGACTAGACTAGACTAGACTAGACTAGACTAGACTAGACTAGACTAGACTAGACTAGACTAGAACAGAACAGAACAGAACAGAACAGAACAGAATTCTTTACTGGTTAAGTGTGATTGACATACAAGGAATTTGTCTCTGGTGCATAAGCTGTCAGTGTGTATACAAAGTGATAAGTCATAGGTCATAAATCATAAGATACAATCATAACGTTTAAGATACAACAATTGATAAATCATAATATGCCAGTAAGAAAAGTAGTAAAGATGAAAGGTGAGAAAGATTAAAAGGTGAGAAAGATGTTGAAGTTGACAAGAATGATAACAATATAGCTACTACATGGGTAAATATCTTTAAGCATAAGATAGTGCTATAGGAGTTAGGTGTTTACCAGAGTGATGGCATGGGGATCAAAACTGTTAGAGAGCATTTTACCGAGGTTGCCATTGGCGGCAACATCTTGAAGCAGAATCCAAACTCCAACATTGATCCAAAACCATAGTTATATCATAATGGATTCTGCTGGAAACTTGGATTCAAGTCTCTTCAACTAGGGACTCAGTGAATCATTTGCAGTTTTGTATTTGCATTTTTGTGGATTTACTTTTTTTAACAGTTTGTCTTATGACTGACATAAAATGTGCTGCATAAATTCCTTATGATAATTTTAATAATGTTCCAATAAGCACCCTGTACTATACACTCTTCATCCCATCTGAATCTATTGCATAAAGATGAGTTCAAATGCTTGGATATTCATGTGATGACTTGTAGCAGCCATTGGAGACCAAGCAGGACACAATGGATTTAGCTGATTTGACCGAAGTGCATGCACATTAGAATCTGATGTCAACAGAGATAATGTTTATATGGGATAAAGACTTTTTTGAGTGCCTTTCAAGTACAGAATTACTTTAAAAGTACTTTTATTCTCCAGTTTTTAGAAGTGGTTTGTGGTCTTGACATATTTTTTTTAATTGGTTTTGAGATTATTTTTCATTTTAATATCTGAATTGAGTATATTTTGATATATGTGTTAATTTTTTGTTTGTCATAAAACTGAAAATTCATGAGACTTCCAGTGGCAAGGCAAGGACGAACAGGTGCAGAAGCCCGTCCGTGGTTTCAGTTAATCTCTTTTTGTGGTTGGCGCTTGAGGGTGCTCAAGTCCCGGAGAGATTCGTGCCGGTGCGGGGAAAACTCGGGCTGCAGTGTGGGGAAGGCAACCCCCCTGCAGTGAAGAGGAGCCCTCCAGAGCCCAACGAGCAAGAAACAGCCTCCCACTAATGGCGGCTCCGAAGTCCGGACTGCCACCGATGTAAAGAAGCGAGTGAGTGACAGTTTGTGAGACCGTTGGGGAAGAGTGTGGTAGAGAAAATCAGCGGCGGAGAGGAGGATTGGAAAGTCATAGACTTGTATAAGGCTGTTATAAGTGTCTGTCTGGAGCCCTAAAAGAAAGCAGCCAAAAAGCGGATGCGAGACAAGTGAAAGTGAAAGGGCTTGGCAAACAGAAGAGAGAGTGAGGACAATAACGAGTAAAAAGGGAAGTTTACGAGGTTGGGAGACTAGCGTCTGGAAAGAGTCTGGAAGTTGTGGAGGATTCGGACTATTCCATTTGATCTTTATTCTGATAGACTTTATTAAAGCGGAGACAGGAAGAAGATCGAAGCTGACGGAAAAGAGACAGTGTGGCGCCATAGGCGATACTTAGAAACCCTGAAGTTATCGTAACAATATAACCAATATAAACCACTTAACAGACCTTTGGGAGAATACTGATCTATTTGAGGAGGTGGTTCCATCTGAAGAAAATCAGGAAAATTGAACTTAGGAACGTTAAGATAAAAGGCAAAATTGGAAGCTTCTGAATGAGTGGAGATACCGCGTAATTGCAGTCATTATTCAGCATTTTTACCTCCCCACTTCTAGTGCGTTTGGAGTGAAAGCTCTTAAATTTAGAGACGGAAAACTAAAAACTTACTTCAAAATTCCTTCCCACCCCTTTTTTTATTCCCCTTTCTCTATACATTTGTTCAATTTTTTTCTTCTTTTTTCCTTACTATTTGGCGTTATGATGAACTATCTCTCCTTCCTTATTCTCTCTTTATAATGATTATAAATATGCATACTCAGTAAAGGAATATTGATTGTTGTATTAGATTGTTAAATAATTGAATTAATTGATTCAATTGAGTTATTAATAATAGTGATAGTTATACTCTGACTAGATATATAGGGAAAATAGTAAGAACATTAAGTACTATTTAATTAATAAGTACAGAGTTTTATATATTAATATTACAATTTATTGTGTGACCACAATTAATCTACTTGGGACGAATGTAATATTGTTTGTGTTTAAGAATATTTAATATTTAAGATAAGGTTAGATAAATACACATATATATTTATAATATTTAAATATAGTTGGATTTGATATAATATTTATTATATATATATTTATTACATGAAGTGAAGTATAGAGGTTGAGCACGGACCCTACAAAACTATATATGTGATTTAGAATTTGGATCTAAAATAATATATATACTCCAGTAACCAGCTAAGAACACAGCTATCCAGCAGATAGATAGATTAAGTAATTAGATACCGGTCAATCCCAATACAGAGATTATATCACTGAATGTTAATTTGGGATAATATAATTAATATAGTTCATCAACAGAAACAAATCTTAAAAGAAATGACTTCCACAACTACTACAGCTCTGAAAACTGGAAGAAAGGTCACCCCGACATTAACAACTACGTTGGCAACAGCTTCGCCCATGGCACAAAAAACCGTAGAAGAAACATTACCAGTGGAGAAACAAGCCAAAATCTTGAATGCCAACATCCAATCAATTTTGCTGACTTTACAGGAATCGATGACGAAGCTGCAAGAAACAATGATGAAAAACCATAACGAGACGAGAGCAGATATCAATGAACTAAAAGAGGAGATGGGGAAATTAAAAGCAGAAATGAAAGCGGACATCTCTAAAGTAGAGGACAAAGTTGGAATATTACAGCAGGCCTTGGAGAAAAATGAAGCAACAATAAAAGAGGTAGAGAAAAGGACTGAACGAACTGAAAGGAAATTAGAAAGGGTAGATGAAGAATTAAAGAGTGCGAGTAAAGAAATGGAGGACTCACTGGTCTACCTAGAGATGGACAAGGCGGCTACATACTTGAGATTCCAAAATGTAGTGGAATCAAAAGAAGACCTGGAACAACTAATGGCGGAAATACTGGCTGGATTATTGGAAAAGGATAAAGATGACATCTTAAGGGAGTTTGATGAAGTTTATAGGGTTAGCACTAATTATGCGAGACGCCACAAATGCTCAAGAGAAGTCCATATACGATTTACGAGAAGGAGTGTCCGGGATATCATATATAGGATGTCCAGAGATGAAACAATCATGTACAAAGATAAAGAAGTCTTGATTCTCAAACGAATACCAAGAAGAGTAAGAGAACAAAGGCGAGACTACAAGTTCTTAGCAGCTTACTTAAATCAGAAAAGAATCACATTTAAATGGCTAATCCCAGAGGGGATGTTAAGTGTGTCTTGGAACGAAAGGAAAATTAAAATAGATTCCATGGAAAAGGCTCAGGAATTCTATGAGCGGCTGGTAGGTCCGGAAGACCAGAGCAGTAAGGAGGAACTGGAAACAAACTCCCAGGAAGATCAAGGTTATCACAAAAATAAAGATGGAATTTTAGGAAAACTGGACTGCATAATTTCTTCTGTTATCAATACTTTGCTATATTTTCCCTCTTTCTATTTTGAAATCTTTGGCCCCATTAGATTCTTTGTTTCAAAATATTTATTCTTAACTTGTTTATATCATAGGAACATGATAAAGAAACCTTATCACCAAGTATCCTTTTCCCATTTAACACTTTTTTTTCATAAACTTGACCTTAGATACATCTTTGACTGATCTGCTGTTTTTATTTTTCTCTACCATTTCTTACTTCTCAGTTAATGGTCTTCTCTTTTCCTCCCTCTTTTCTCCAGATGACAGTGTTCCTCAGAAAGCTCCTTGGGGCATCAACTTAATGAAGAAGAGCAAAAAACCTGTTCCAAGAGCATTTGGTATAAGGTTAGAAGACTGCCAGCCAGCTCCTGACAACAAGGTAATAATCTCTTTTCAGTTGCACTAGGTCTTTTATTCTGGATAAGAAAAGAACAATGTCTTGGGAACTTTGTTAAGGGAAAATGTTATCACTTCAACATGTCAATAATCTGCCACGAGATCTAATTTGTGAGCTTCCGCTTGGAACCTAATTACAGCCTAGCCTGTTTTCTTGGTTTAGTAAAAATGTAGCTAAGTGTATGCAGGGAAAGAGATCTATGTTGAATTGGGGAATGGGAAATGACAGTAAAGGAAATTGAGTTTTGATCTAATGGGAAGAACTTGATTGCTCAGGTATAAGGTTACTTCTTGAGGAATATCCACATAACATATTCCTAAATAAGAAAGGTGGAACTTAGTGTTAGCAAAATTAACATGGCTTGAGATCTGATTGGAGCATAATATTGTTTGTGGTTTCTTTGGAAATGTGAAACTCATTCCTGAATTTCATTTCCACTTAAAGGACAAGAATCCAAGCTTTGAACATGGATTCATTAGTAGTAAGATCTGGAAGGTGCTTCAGAGTAGACGGATTTGAGTTCTGGTAAAAGAAATATGCTTGGAATCCAAGGGATAACATATATGATATATTTTGGGGGCTAATCAACTGGTTTAAGGCTTCAAATTACTTCTACCTCACAAAAAAGGATCTTGATTTTTAAGGTTCCCAACCCTGGTACCAGTATCTTTATCATCCTGTCTTACACAGAAAATCCCCCTAATTGTGGAAGCCTGCTGCAAGGTAGTGGAAGACAAAGGTTTGGAATACATGGGCATCTATCGAGTCCCAGGGAACAATGCTGTGGTATCTAGCCTACAAGAACAACTAAACAAAGGGGCAGCAGAAATCAATTTGCAAGATGAGGTGAGAATAAGATTGCTTAGCTCACACTCTTAGCTCTTTTCACTTCTATTGAAAAAATGCCCCAATATTATTAGCTAGTACTGACACCTAGCTGTCATTTGTTTATAGTACATGTGTTTACATATGAGGCATGTGTATGTATTATTTTGGGTTACTTGCGAGGAAGATCCAAAGCCTTTCTGTATTCTGTATACAATGGCCTTTCTATTAGAAGACACAGCGAGATAGGCAGCAAATAAGTTTGAGAAATAAATAAAAATGAATAAATAATAGAAATACTAACAACATTTATTATCTTGTCTTTGTTTCTTATCAGTCTTAATCCTATTAATAGTGTGAAGAAAATTATCACTTTCCTATTGTTAAGAGTTCATAGAAGGATTATAAAAGTCAATTTATCTGAATTATTTTGAGCACTTTAAATAGTTTGTACTCCGGATCTTCCGGATTGCAACTTTCATTTCCTGGGTCAGCTTGGCAACAGGGGTTCTTGCTCAAAACAATGGAAGTTTCGATTCTTAATGCATCAAGATGATACAAGGTTATGTAAGCTTATTCTAAAGTCCTTTATGAGAGTGAAAATATCTCCTTCTGTTAGTCTTGTGTGCAGGCCCAGAGAAAGTAGGGAATAAGCTTCTTCTAGTAGAAGACTACCAATATACTTGCATAAATGCATAAATGCAGCTTCCTACACCGTGTGCACAATTATTAGGCAAATTGTATTTTTGAGGATTAATTTCATTATTGAACAACTGTAGTCAATCTCAGTCAACTCTCAGTCAATCCTAAATGTTAGTAAACCTCAAACCTGAATATTTAAGAAAGTAAAAAATGAGGTTTTGGTTTTCGTAGGAGAATATCTATGTGTGTACAATTATTGGACAACTATTAGTGTGCAGAATTATTATGCAACTAAATGAAAAATGAAAATTTTCTCATTTAATTCATTTATTTTCATCTGTTAAAGTTAGCATAATAAACAAACAACTCAAAATATACAAATAAATATTTCTGACATTTAAAAAAAAACAGTGCCTTTTCAATAATAGTTGTAATCCTTCCATTCCTTCCATTCATGGAGTCTGTCAGTGTTGTAATCTGTTGACAATCAACTTTTTGTGCAGCAGGAACTACAACCTCCCAGACACTGTTCAGAGAGTAAATATCCCATTTAAGAAGGGCCCACAAATTCTCAATAGGGTTTAGATCAGATGAGGAAGGGGGCCTGTCATTATTCTTTCATCTTTAAGGCCTTTCCTGGCTAGCCATGCAGTAGAATACTTTGATGCATGTAATGGAGTATTGTCCTGCATAAACATCATGGTCTTCTTGAAAGATGCAGACTTTTTCCTGTACCGCTACTTGAAGAAAGTATCTTCTAAAAAATTGGAAGTAGGTTTGGAAGTTGATTTTCAATCCAAAAAGTTCCAACTAGCACATCTTTAATAATACCAGCCCATACTGGAGACCATCTCCACCTTGCTGGCATCTGAGCCGAAGTGGAGTTCTATGCCCTTGACTGATCCAGCCCATCCATCTGGTCCGTCTAGAGTCACTCTCATCTCATCAGTCCATAAAACCTTTGAAAAAATCTGTCTTCAGATATTTCTTGACTCAGTCTTGCCATTTCAATTTATATGTCTTGTTCAGTGGTGGTTTGGCATCAGCCTTACCTTGGCCAGGTCGCTGAGCACTGAACATCTTATACTTCTGGGCACTCCAGTTCTGGAATATGACAGCACTGGAGGATAATGGGTTCCTGGTAGCTTCAATATGATTCTTCTCAAATTTTGGGGAGTTAATTTGGATCTTTTTTCCCCCCTCAACACGTTTCTTGCGACTCTGTTCATTATTTACAACAAAATAATGGTTTGATGGTTCCATGATTACGTCCCAATAACTTAGCAATTTCAAGAGTGTTGCATCTCTCTGACTTTTCAGAGTCAGTTAAATCTCTTCTTAGGCCCATTTTACCTGAGAAAAAGAAGCTGCCTAATATGCACACCTTGATGTTGATCTCCTTAGGCCACACCCTCCCTCATTACACAAGTACACATCATCTGATATGTTTATACTCACTAAGCATTCAAGTTTATACAGTTTGAAGGTGAAAAATATGCATAATATCACTTGCCTGATAATTGTGCACACAGTGTATTATAACTTGCCAATCTGTTTAGAAAAAAATAGATGAAGCCAGTGGAGAATGTTGGTTGCCCTGGCTATGGCCATTGGCCTTCTTTAAAAATCTTGGAAAAATTCATAGGGCAGTTTTTTTTAAAAAAAATGTTTGATCTCAACATGCTTTACGGTGTTTGGAAAATGTAAAATGTTTTATGTAATAATAAGCGAAAATCAAAATTGAAATAAATATCAAAAAACTCTTTCCATTCTCCAACCCCAGAGATGGCAAGACTTGAATGTTATTTGCAGCCTCTTGAAGTCCTTCTTCCGGAAACTCCCAGAGCCTCTGTTTACCGACGGTGAGTGATGGCGATCTACTATCCCTTGGCTGCTTTACCAGTCAGGATAACAAGATGATTTTTCCCAGAAATTCAGACAGGAAATATTAACCTTTGGTTTCTAAGGGACTCTGTGTGATCTTTTTATGGTTGATTATATTGGTTTCAGGGCATAGTTTCTCTCTTGCTCAAGCCATAGCTAGTAAATCACATTTGTCTAAGAGGTGTAGAGATTGGTGTTACAAAATGACTCAAGGTTCAACTTCACTTTAATTTTTCAAAAGCTGATAGAAAAGGAACTGATTTAGGCTTTTTTAGGGTCTGGGATGTGATTGTGGGAAGTGGGAAAAACTTTTTACTTCTCTGGTAACTTGTTATTGTAATGCAGTTCTCACCGCTGCACATTGCATGTTTCAACTGTGGTAATAACATCACAGTGCATGTTTACCGCATGGTAATACGTGTTGCGTGCTTAGGTAAGGACTGTCTCACCTAATTATTTTAGAAGAAAATTGTGGCTAGAAAAGAATGTCCTGGTAGTTATGGCACAATGGGGGGGGGGGGGTTTGATTAAACCATAGTCTGTGGCAAGACACCAAGAAGGGAAGGTGATTTCTTTCCCCATGTCTAAAATTCTTTATATAATACTTTTGCTGCCTACAAAAACATAGGAAAAAAAATCTATTTTTGTTCACAGGAAATAAAGAGTTTCCAAATGCAGATTTCCACGCTGCCTTAGGTTTAACAGGGAGAGAGAAAACATAGTTAATTTCAGGAGGGAAGAAATCAAATGTTTTAGCCAGGCAAGTTGTAAAGTTCTCAAGAATCCTGCTAGAATTATTATTTTCCCAAACCAGTAAGGCTGAAATTTTCATATCTGAAAATTTGAATTAAAATCACATCTGGTTTTTCAGAAATTTGTTTATATTTTCCCCCCTAAATACTATGCTGTACTTGTTCATGGCTATGATAAGACTGAATGTTATATTCCTCACCCCCACCCCCAAATTTACAATCAAGTGTTTTCCTAATTGTCCTTACCACTTAAATCTAACACATAAATTAGATAAACTAAATGAATTCAGGATTTCAGATTTCAGAAATCAAGTTAGTAAGTGAACTCAGAAATTAGTAGCTCTAGCTATCTTAACTTCCAAAGCTGAAATTAGATTGTAGAAATGATGGTCTTTCAAGACGTATTTTGAATCTCATTCTCAGTTGTTCTGAATTACTCGATTTGTTTTGTCCTAAAATGATACCACAAATCAGAAATGTTTTTTTTCCAAGATAAGTACAATGACTTTATTGAAGCCAACCGGATAGAAGATGCCAGTGAAAGGATGAAGACCTTACGCAAACTGGTAAGCCCCTGGAAGTTCCTGCTGGCTTTTTCCTTGGAGGACTATATGGGGAAATGTCTCTGCTGGTCTCTGTTATGCAAGAAAGGCTGCAGTTCAGTTCAGTGGTAGAATACTATTTGGGGGGGAGGGATGGAGAGTAGCCAAGATAGGATTATTGAACCTACCCTGTATGCTTTCCGCACTCCAACAAGGAACAATCTTCATAATGAAAAGTAACAATTCCTTTTATGCTGAAGATTCAGTCTCTAGCATTTTAAACTAGCCAGAGATTCGATTCCCATCCGAAGTTTTTCTGAGCCACTGAATATTATATTGAGCTTAATATGTCTAGGCAGCAAGTGCAACTTCTGACCACCAATACATCAGCTTCAGTGGACACAGCTAGACCATAGAATACTTGCTTTGAATCCTGGTATTTCACACTGTGCAACTTTAAAGGAAGATACTGTAGAGAATGACCCAGATTGTTCAATTGTGTTATTTTGTATAAGATTAATCTTGAACTTATAAGAGAGAAAAGACAGGTGAACATACAAATCAGTCTCCTGTAGTAGGAGATAGGATGGGCTTGTAATATGTTTGCTTGCTGCAGATCTGTAAACTGGTTCTTTTATTGTATATATCACCGCCAAGCACACTTCTTTCTTCTTTTCCCATGTATTAACACTCACTAGTGGCCTGTCAGTTCCTTTATATGTCTTTTGAAGTTGTTATGTTTTATTTTCTTAAGAATCAGACATGATATTCTTCCGATTAAAATCGGAATTCCAATTTTTTTGGGAATCACCCCCCTTCCCCCCCTTCTTCTCCTCCTTCCCCTCCCCTCGGAGGCCCCGAGTGAGGAGTTTCTGGCGCGGCTCTGCGTGACTCCAGTCCCGCGTTGCCTCAGGAAGGGAAAGGCAAAAAGGAAGAGCCGCGGCGGCGCTTTGCAACGGCAGCAGTGGCTCCTGGTTTTGCCTTTCCCTTCCCGAGGCAACGCGGGACTGGAGCCGCGCGGAGCCGCGCCGGCGGTAGCAACTCCTGACAGCCCCAGCTGGATACCTGAGCGGAGCCCGGGCGGGCGGGCGGTGCGAGCGGAGCCCGGGCGGTGTGAGCAGAGGCCGCTGAGCGGCAGGAAAAGGGAGCTGCGCAGCGATTTCTTGGCGCGCGGTGGGGGGGTCTCTTTGCCGGCCCCGATTTTTTTTTCAGAGGGGAATATCATGCCTGAGAATTGAGAATATGAAGCATTCTTTATTCAATTGAAAGCCATCTGGGTAATTAATTTAAAACAAGCTTAAGGTGGAAATGTCACACAGCATTAATGCAAGAAATAGTGGATGCTACAAAGGCAAGAAAAACATACTTTTCCTACAGAGCAGAGAACATGCACTAACCATTAGGAAATCTTGTCTAGCCTTGTCATAGTGCAGGACATATCAGTATACATATTATTGGAATGCTTTAAAAGTTCTTGTAAGAGTAAATGTACACTATGGAAGAACAGTGGAATTCTACAGTTGGCATGTTCCTATAGTACCACTTCTTTTATGCCAATTTTTAAAAAGCAAAATAATGGCTTGAAACTAGAAAAGGCGAGAGAATCTGGAATAGGATCTTGCATAAGCATCTGTCATAAAATGAGACAAATAAATACTCTGGATTGGTTTTATTTTAAAAATGTATATATTTCTTCCATCTCTGATTCAGATCCGGGATTTGCCAGGCCATTATTATGAGACCCTCAAGTTCTTGGTGGAACATCTCAAGACAATTGCAGATCATTCTGAAAAGAATAAGGTAATGTTTGTTCTTCCCTTCCCTATCTAGTGACCTATGTATAATAGAATATTCAACTATTTCATGGAAAGGAGGATTAAGAGGTATATGATCCAGATAATGGAATTTTTAGTTTGATTGTGGGATGCGACTCTTCAAATATCACTAAGATTTTACCCGGGAACTTATCAGCTTTACGTTCCAAATTTTTATTCACCAATCTGATTCTCTTCCAATGTGTTAACGCTCTTATGATTTCCAATCTTTGGAATAAATACTGGGGATGATAGACATAACAGCCCAATATGTCTGGAGTTCACAAATGAAGATGCCTGTTCTATATCTTGTGGGGTTTGTGGATTATGGTTAAGAAAACCTTTCCATAATGGAATGTCAAGGATCACCTTTTGAATATTCATTAGAGCGAGAATCTTTGCCCAATAATTTAACATTGCAAGGTTTTTGCTGTTTAGTTCAGATTCTTTAAGTTTAACAGATAACAGATAATCAGAGTTGGAAGGGATCTTGTAGGTCAGGAGATCCTACACCATTTCTGACAGATGGGAGTCCAATCTGTTCTTGAAAGTCTCAAGTGATGGCGCTCCTCTAAGTTCTTAAACTTATAGTTATTATTATTTTTTGTTCAGAGTTAAAGATAAAAACTCATCCAATGAAGACTTTTCAATCTTGTCATTTGGAAGATCTCTATAGCATTAAATGGCTAATAGGCAATTTCTGAAAGTGATTAGATTTATTGTCCTTTAAAAGGAACAGCTACCATTGCAAGCCAGATTGCTAATCCCTTGGTTTCCTGTCATTCAAACTCATTGAAAAACTTTAGTCTCCTCACAAGGAGCAGCCATCAAGAGCATACATAAGCAATTGCCCATCCTTTCCTTATCTGCAGAGGTTCCATGGAACCAATTTCTCCAACTGGTTCCTTGGTCATTGTCATGGTCATCAACTCTGCAAAAGCTATCTTTAGTTTGTCAAATCTCCCTTGGAAGTCCCCAGAATTCACCTTGTTGTTACCCAGCACGTATTTATGAATGGCCTAAGATTGAACCTTGATGGGTTTAAACAAAATTTTCCCCTATTGTACTTTGATGAATTCCCATATGGTGTTTTAGGCCTGGTTTCTTGAATGAATCTGTTTGTAGTCCTTATATAAAAGTACATTTCTAAACTCCCAAATTGCTCCCTTCCTTACTGAATTCTACAAAGAGATATCTGTAGTGAAAGGGCTGTATAAATAACAGACTTTCTTATTTCTCCATTGTATTAGGAGAATGTGAGATGAGTGTGCTAATTGCAACATCCCTTCCTGCTACATGAATCCTGCTATGCTTGTTTGTATCCTGCAGAATTTAGAAATCTGACTTCCCTGAGTTAAAATAGCTCTTGAATTTGGTTCTTTGCCGTATGTAAAGCAATTCTTTGTGGATGAAGTGCATGAAAAAAATCATAGGGCTTTCTTAGCGCTCAAAGCAAAGAGGCTAATGTGACATGAATGCAGAGATAAGATATATAACTTCATTCCAGCCTTGTTGACAACTGTTCATCTTATAGAAACAAAAATGCAATGGATTGTATTGCAGATGGAGCCGCGGAATCTTGCCTTGGTATTTGGTCCCACTCTAGTTCGAACGTCGGAGGATAACATGACTGATATGGTGACACATATGCCTGATCGCTATAAAATTGTGGAGACCCTCATTCAACACGTAAGGAGCAAGCGGGGGTTGAATCTAGGATCTATATAGTAGGCAATTTAGAGGGGTCTGATTCTATATATATATCAGTGATTATGTATATGAGTTATTTTTAAAATTGTCTTCAGAAATCCTTGCTTGGTGTCATCATCAAATGAATTACCAAATGAATCCCAAGTATTTGTTGGAAAGGTTCTCAAGTTGGGGAAGATTGTTTTATAAAAGGAATGGCAATGTGTGATCTGCTAGATGTTACTGAATGACAGGTACTAGCAGCAGTATTTGTAATTCAGGAGGATAAGGGCAGTCACACTTTCCCAATGCTATTTTAAATAAATGAAGTGCAGTAATAATACTACTGAGTCAAACGAAAACAAAATAGTAAGAAACTTTATTAAAATATTAATTCTTCGGATTCCAGTTCTTTATTTAATAGTGTGCAAATCCTTCAACTTGAATTGTAATGTTCAGTTACAGAAATAATTGCAAATAGTTCAAATGATTTATATTTTTAGATAATAATTTTAAAAATCCTTTCTATTGTTTTAGAGTTGTAAAGATATACTTCAGTAATCCCCAGTGATCTTTAGGGCAGAAGAGGGGAATTTATTTACTATGCCTATATGATCATGCTCCACATAAATAGTGTATGGAATTTATATGCAACCTGTTTCTTCAGAAGGATATGTTGGTGTACACCATTCTTTTCTCTCACTTCTTCTTTTTATCCTTACACCAATCCTGTTTAATATATTAGACTGGGGAAAAAAGGTTAGGTCCCAAATCACTCAGTTAACTTCATGGCTAAATAGAGACTTCAACTTGGATCTTCTTGGTCCTAGTCCAGATTCCATTATAGCTGGAAAGAGCCAATCATGCTGTAGTTTTATAAGTCTTTATTCTTTAAGCATGCCCAATTTTTTTTCCAAAGAGTTGGTAACTTCCTCATTCAGAAGTTCAAGAAATGGTTCTGTAAATGGCTTATCTGTTTTAAAATGTTCAACTAAATTTCAGTAAGCAGTGAACTTGTGCCAACATGGCAGGTGCATTTTGTATTGTCTAGTGCAGTGATCCCCAACCTTTTTTATGCCGCGGCCCGGTACCGGCATCAGCTGGGCGCCGCGGCCCGGTACCGGCATCAACTGGGCGCCGCCATCTTTTTTTGACGAAAAAGTGCTTCCGGTGACCTCACCGGAAGCACATTTTCATCAAAAAAGATGGCGGTGCCAGCGCTTCCGGTGAGCTTTTT